GAAATTACGCTCCGGTCAAGACAATTCCATGCCTTTCAAATGTTCTCGAATAACAGCCGATTACTTTTTATCAGAGGCATTTTAAACCTTCTTTAAGTAACAAAACTCCTAGCTACCCGGACACGGGTGATTTAGCTTTCCTGCTGAAATTGGCTGCTACTGTTAAATTTTCAGTTGACTTCATCCTTAGCCAGGCTGTGTACTAGTTCTCAAAATTCCTGGACTACTCCCAAGTTGGTTAAAAGACTATTAGCTGGACGCGTTTTAGAACATTCGCTGTGAAAAAAAGTGTGACACGTCCTCACAGCTCATTAACTGTCAACCCACATGAATTTGTAAGAGGGTGTTTACAAATCACGAGTCCTTAGGTGCGGCTTCTGATTAACCCCAAAAACGGTTGAAAAGATAGTGGTCAACAGATAAACAAGGTAGAATCATCGTCTATTTTATTCTATTCTTTGCAACATCTACGAGGAGCACACTTGCATTAGGTAAAACAGTTCCTAGGTGTTTCGGGGAGTCTAAAATTATTCCAGAGGAGGTTAAAATGATGGCATTTCGACCACCTTGAACGATGATATACACCGTATGATCTGTTTGTGCCTGCCACGCACGACTTGGCTCTCCGCACAACATACAGGGATTTTCGCCAAAAAGTGTGAGCTGAAAGGATCTAAAATTCCTGATAGTGCCACAGAGGCCACATTAAGAAGGAGTCATTTTGGTCTGAATATTGGCCCAGCAGTCAGTCACTGCACGCGTTCGGGAGGTGTCTAGAGGGGCGGAAAATCATGACACGGAAATGAAGATGCATCAGTCCTCTGCCTTCTCGACGAAAGAATGCCTCGACTGGGGGCTAGAGGTCTCTCATAGACAGCCTGCTGTCCGGTTTGTTTGGCCAAACTATGATGACAGTTCGTCTGTCGTGATGCCAGACTTGCGTTGTATCTGCTGCACACACTCCTCCTCCTCCTCCTCCTCCTCCTCCACCTGGGCCCAGTGTCGAGATTTAGTCGAAAGGACCGGAGGTGGGAGAGGGCTCAGGTGGCTGGCACGGCGAACGAACCTGCACCTGGGCGTACCTCCAGCACCACCACTGTGGCAGCCAGACATCATGACCGGTCTGGTGTCATTGTTCAAGACCCCGCCGCCTCAAGGTCATTCTCCCTTTGAAGTGAGCCGTCCCAGACGAGCTGACCTGAATTCACACGACCAACAACTCGGGCATACCTGCGTCCGCGCAGTCGCAGCTGCCCATGTGGCCACTCGAACGCGCCACCCCCTGCAACCAGCAAAACAAGCCACTGCGGCACCACCCCTCGGCAAATGCAACACACGCTGACTGGACACCACTTGAGCTTGGCCCATGAGCCTACAAAAGCGGCTGCCACCACTATCTCAAGGACTCTCAGGCATGACTGGACGCAGTCAACATCAGCCCTGGCTTCGCCAGTGGCCACTGCCGCCCGAGAGGACAACTCCGGGTTCTGTGCACAATAAACCCCTCATTCTGGAGCCTTCCGTCTTATCTCCTCAACTTGGGAGCTGACCCGATAATGGTAGCACAACGCCAACACACACACCGCCTGACCACGACACTACAACCACCACCAAAGTATGATAACAAAGGTGTGCTGGCAGAGGTATGGGTAAGCTAATATAGCACTGCATTAAACGACCGGCATTTACGTTGTTATCTCTACTCTTGTAGTTTACGGTGAGAAAAGTGATGAAAATGGGAGTTTAGGGGTGCATATCAAATGATTTATGTGATTGTTTTCCCTTTGTGAAACCCTTAGGTCCTGCCTAGCAATCGCAGCCGTTTTTATAAATAAATGGCCTTGCTGTCTTTAATTTCATTTAAATTAGATATATAAGTTTGGTAGAGATGGAGTCTGGAACTGTGCATAGGCACACCCTGCTCGGAGGTCGCACGACGTTTGTCTTCACCTGGGAAAGCATATACTATCAAGAGAATAATAAAAAAGGCGCTGGATTGTCTGTACTGCATAATGTAATGTGAAAAGGGCCATTTGATGGAAGTCAGGGAACTTATATGGAGGAGTACTTCCACACAAATTTTGATGTAGAGTTTTAGAGTTGAGTCGAAACATACTTTAACGTTCTGCGAATTTTTTAATTGCATCTGACCTGTCTGTGCTGAGTGAAATTTAAAAACAAGAAGACGTCTCACAACTCCCAAATGTATTTGCTAAGCCCCTGTTTTCCTGTGTGAGAAAACCTTCCAAGAAATAAGCGACCAACGACTTCGCATGAGAACTCAAATTACAGACATCTTTGACAAATATGCGAGCACAGTAAACGGTAAGAATTCCGAACGTTAACGGGGAAAAATTTATATTAGGTCAGGTGACTCATGAAATGTTGCAATTATAATCTTCAGAATTGTATGAGAGAAGTAGGCTTGTTGTGGCTCTTAAAAATTACTTTCGTCTGAGGCGCAAAACGCCTCCTGCAAAGGAGGCTTATGTTAATAGCCATTTTGTTAAGAAATGACGGGATATTTTTAGGCAGCAACGGACGTTTTCTCACTTTCAGACAATTTCTCGTGCTGCTAATTGCCGTAGGCAAAGGCTGCCGAATTGCGTGCGCTCTGCTGCGAAGGTGCTCGAAGGCAAGCGAATGAAGTTTACACTACGTGTCTTCTTTACCTGAAAAATCAAATTTAGCTTGAACGAAAATTCGGTAAGACCAGACATGACATCTGCATTCTTTTAAGAATGTGCGGTGTCTTCTCTCTCGTAAGTCCTAAATTGCCAAATGATGCCTCAGAAATTAATAAAAATATGGTTGGAAGGTGATGGTTTGTCTTACCAATTGAGGATTAAAAGACATAATCATGTATATTCATATATATGATTATACATATATATGCAGAATGGTATTACCGACAAAGACAAGGGGGACTGGAATGGCCAGCCATACCCAAGCTCGAAGTGGGGAACACCCGAGCCTCGAACTCGCGACCTGTTGGTTTAGAAGTCCACGCCTCTACCCACTGGGCCACGAGCCCGTTGCCTTGTCGGTTTTGATCGGGAATATACAATGGTAGGGGACGCTCACCGATCGTTTATACGGAAATCACTCGTTCCGTTGTGCCTTTGTCGGTAATACCATTCTGCCTATATATCATGCGCCGCTGTGCGGCTGCTGGTTGGGCTCGAGAGAGAGCTTTTAAGGCACAACGGAACGAGTGAGTTCCGTATGAACGATCGGTGAGCGCCCCCTACCATTATATATATATGAATATTTGTAGGCAAGTACGGTCTTTTGGATAAGTAAAAACTTTATTAGGCAAATTTCCGATGCTGGTTCCCCAGATTGTCGTCAGGCTAGAGAAAATATGCAAAAACGCTTACAATTTCAAACGCGATTAAAAAATCGATACTCATTCCGCGTTTACACCAGTAACAGCCACCGTGTGAGCCATTCTGCCTTGATTGGTTCTTTTCTCTTCCATTTTTACGCCGTTTATGCCAGTGTGCCGGTTGATGCACAACTCATCTGAGTGCATGGCTTTAAGAAAATTTCAGCATTTTTTGGAGAGACAGACCTTGACGATGTGAGTCTTGTCCCAGGCGAAATTGTGCTCGGTATCAAGGATTTACGTGGTCATCTGGAATAGATGGTCTCGCCTCTCAACTGCCAGCTGATGTTCATGGATGCGCGCAAAGGCAGATTTTTCAGTGTGGCCACAGTATACGGCAACACAGGCCTCACATAGGATTTTGTATTCGACTTTCTTCTTAGTAAGTTAGCCAACCCTATCCTTAGGGTGTGTAAACTGAGTGCACAAAGTAGTCTTCGGTTTGTGCGCCACTTTTATTTGGTGTTTCCTCTAGTATCTTTCAACGAGCTCAGACACTTTTATGATGTAGGAAAGGACTCGCCAAGTATTTGCTTTGGGCGCTTGATTGGAACTATCTAATGCCAAATGTCAGTGTACACCCTTAATGCTAGGCGCACTTCTGCCTGGGACAAAAAGCCTGTCCTAACTATTTCATAGTCTCTAATGGTTTGAAATATTCGGCAGTCCGAAAACTCGAATTAATATAATACCTGCTCCGGCAATCGCGCACTCCTTTCCTTGTAACGAGAATTTCGAGTTCCCATGTTCGTTTATATGCGAAACTTATTAGCACACTGCGCGCAACATGCTGATTAACAAAGCGATGATTATATTAATTTCCTTCTGTTTGTGAGCCTCGTGTTCTTAGCCCAAATCAATTTAGATTTTGCATCCTGATTTTATGAAGTTTGAGTTTTTATGCTTTTTTCTTAATTTCACAGCTGAAAAATAACAGAATGAAAACCTAGTTATATCTTCTTTTTAATGGCGGTCGTTTCTTTATTACGCGAAATCCCTGGGAGAAGGGGGAGGCATGGACGGACGGTTCCTTCGTCACAAGTATTTTTATGTAAATTTCCTTTTCTTTCATAATAAAACACAGCTTTCCCATGTCTATTTTATTTGCAGCTTTGTGCAATTTTGCGTAAAAGTTAGATCAAAATTCATTGGTGACATCTGTCAACTTTTATTTTGATGTCAATTCACCCGCTATGGAGTTAGTTTTCCCTTCCTCACTGAAATTTAAACGAGTTTTTCTGGGTCGCGTTTTTACATGCGTGCGGGCAGTCATGTAAAAAGTTATGCTATGAGGCATTAGGATGGGTCTGCCCTTGTAAAGAATTTGCCTAATTAACTTTAGGGTGTCTCTGAAAACACGACCTATTCGTTGTAAGAAGTTCAGGTCGGCTATTTCATATTAGAAGTTTTGAATTTTCTTCTGACCTTTTCACTTACCATCTGCTGTGCTGCTATACGTTAGCTCCGCCCATTTAGTAAGGTGAACGCCAAACACAGTTTTCAATTTTCTCAGCGATGATTGCATGCAAAAGGAGCCTCAAAATGTGAAGGGAAAGGCTGAACACGAATATAGATTTAACATTTTGTCTTAGCAGACCTCATGGAGTGTCACTTAAAAAATTTATCAGTTCGAAATAGTACTTTTGACAGGAAAAATATGACATCATAATATAAAAGTTTGACCATTCTAAAACGCTCATATGGTGATCTAAATCAAGAAACGCCTTTCGATGATTGATTCAGTCACTGCAAAATTGCCGTTAAAAGACGATAAAATAAGTCATGAAATTGACAAGCAAGTATTAGAGTTTGACGGCTCTTTGATGCCAAGTATCTTTTTTGCCTTAAACTTCATAGGAGGTTACAGTGTCAAAACGAAACGGAGAATCGTGTCCGACCTCTCTGCACTAGTGCTGTTGTCTGCCTATCACCTGTTGTTTCGTGGTCGAAGAGGCGTATGCTGTGGACACATTACCGAATTTTGATATGTTAATATCCAGTTTAGAGAGTTAAATTCCTGTCGTTACACTGGTGGCATTCGACTCAAGTGCGAAGCTTTACTAGGCAAAGTTTTATCAGATGTCGAATTCTCTGTCACCGCTCACTGAATGAAGTTGCCAATCCAAATAATTTAAACTGAAGCCATACTAATAAAGAAAGCAGGAACCGGTTGGTGAAGAAAAGGGGTGATTGAGAAACTTTAAGGAAAAGCATGTGTGAGAAAGATGCGATTTATAGTAGATCTGTATGTATATAACATGCGTTTACGTTTAAACTTGATCGGCTGAACTACTTAGTTATTGAAGGAGCAATTTTGATTAATTTATGAGAACATTTTGATTTTTATTTTTCGGTAAATTCTTGAGTGAGCTCTGCCAAAAATCCATCACACCGTAAGCTGATTACCCAATAATTTGACTTAAAATTGCGGTGTGCTTGGTCCCCTCTTCCACCTTTGATCGCATCATCAATTCTAACAAAGAGCTCCATTATCCATACCCCGTTAAATTAATAAACCCACGTTAATGAAACCGAATGGCAGTTTCAATTCATAGCCACCTATATTTAGAAAACGA